CCTCGTCTCTGCTCTGGCCAAAACGTTGCGTTTAACCTTGCGGGGAGAGCCTGTCATCCGTGTCTGGTCACTGTGGGCTGCAGCCAGCTTGAGACCATCTCCAAACGCCGCTCCCAGGCGGGGTTACACCAGCCCAGCCGAGGGGTCCGGCAAGAACGAGGGGTTGTCACACGCCTGTAATACCCGAGGTGGGTTTAGCTTCTCTAGTGGGGAGGTGCTGGAGCCTGGTGTGGCTGGAGCACGGCTGCACAGGGGAAGAGCAGCATCTCCTCACTGCAGCAGCATCTCCTCACTGCAGTGGAGCTGGGTTTATAACCTTGTGGCATTTAAAAGATCTCCCTTGGTTTCAATACGTTTTCCTGTAGCTCTGTCCTTGATGTGAAGCACATCCCTCCTCCCCAGCTCCCAGAACGGCCAACAAAGCTCTGAGTAAACTCAGGCAGCATTGAAACCTCATGGGCAAACACCCTTTAACTGGTGCTCCTAAATAGGTCTTTGATGTATATAAAACTGAGCAAGAACAGAGTTTTGCTAATGAAAGCATACATATGCTTATTTGTAATAATTTGTTTTTTTTTTTTTTTATGTGGGGACTGCAAAGAAAATCCCTCCAACTGTGTGCAGTAAGTTCTGGTGCATGTAGAAATCTCTGGCAGCTATTGAGTCCAAGAATTTTGCTGCTCTAGAGCAGTTTAGGAAATTGTGTTGGTAGGACAAGCAAAAGTATTGGTGCTGTTGGTGAGAAGATGCTTTAGATCTCCTGCTTGGCTCTAGTGGCATTGCTGCTCCACGTGACTTGGTGTGTGGTTTGTGAAGTGCAGTACAAGGAGGCCCACGTTGTGCTTTCGTTTCACTCACCTGATGTTTTTTCCCTCTTCCTGCAGGAGGAGGATTGCTGGATGAAAGCCAACCCCAGGAATCTGAGCCAGATGTCAGAGGAAAGTTTGATTTCTTTGTGAGCAGCTCACGCAGCATCCGCAAGTGCCCTTCACCTTCGTGGCTCCTGGAGGTGCCAAGATCCTTGTGCAGACATGGCATTTAGAAGGACAGAGGGAATGTCCATCATCCAGGCCTTGGCCATGACTGTGGCAGAGATCCCTGTGTTTGTTTACACAACATTTGGGCAGGTACAATGAGCAGGAAAGGCTTTTCTGCCACGTTTCTTGGGTTTTCTCTGTGAGAGTTGCCTGTGTTGGTGGTGAGGAGCAGAGGCACGATGGGGTGATGCTGGGGGTCCTGGGCAGTTTGAGGGGTTATAAGAATTGCATGGAGAGTTTGGGATGGTGGGAGAGGGCTGCTCAGGGTGGGCTTGGAGAGGGAAGAGAAGGGCTTCCTACACCTCTCCCTGGGAGAACACCTGAGTTCAACCTTTCTCTTCATTAAAGACACTAAAAAAAAAGTTTTATTTTAATGAAGAGTAATACATTTCCCACTCATAGCAATGCAACACTTGAGACAATCAAACTCAGCTAGATACCAGGGTTTCAGAGGTGAAATTGGGTAAGTCAGATTGCGTCTGTTACAGGCTGGGTGTAAATTTTGCAGTATGTTTTGGTAATGAGGCTTGAGACTGAGTCCTGTCAAAAGGGTGCTCCACAGTTTTTCTGCTGCTGTCGTAGTTGTGTAGTAGGGGCTGTTTTGTGGGTGGGAGGGGGAATGCCAAGTTGTCTTCTGTTCAGGGCTGCTTTAAAAAGAAGAAAGGGTGGTGAAACTGATGTTTCATTGTTGCTCTTTCCTGTCTTTTGTGTTTAAAGTCTGTGTTCTCTCAGCTGCGGCTCTCCCCAGGCCTGCGTAAGGTGCTGTTTGCCACAGCCCTTGGGACGGTTGCCTTGGCTCTTGCAGCTCATCAGATGAAGCGGCGCCGGCGTCGGAAGAAGCAGATTGCTCCAGAGAAGTGTGGCTTTAAACCTGGAGGGATCACGGTGCCCATCTTGCCCACCAGAAGGGTCTCCTCTGTGAAGAAAGGTTGGCCGTGCAAAAAGGGAGAGTCTCCGAAAGCCTTTAGTGGGGGTGTACCTGGGGAGGGGAGGGCAAAGATATTTGTGTAGAGCATCGGTGCAGAGTGAAATTGGGAGCCTGAAGCACAGTGCTGTGAACACAGGGTTGGCAGAGGAAAAGGAGAGACCCTGAGCTCAAAGCCCTTGTAAGGAAAACAAGTGCCCCTGAGTTTTCAGTCGGGTTTGCTGTTCCCATCCCCTCCTACAGCAGGACTGTGGACCCGTTAGGCCGTGCTGCCCCTGCTGATAATGACCTGGGGCACATGGTGACCTGGCTGTGTATTGATCTGAGCAGTGCCCGGGTGATGCCTGAGCTGGGGGACCTGTGCATGGCCTCGGTGGTGGGGCTGGGTGGCAGAGGGGAGCGTGGGCTGGACTGGGATGGGGAGTCAGGAGTGTCTGTCCAGCTCTGTGGTGGCTCCCAGGCCTCAGGCAGCTTCTTCACCTGACCTTACTGATTTATGGCATAAGACTGGCCCAGGTCCTCAGCAGAGCACTTAATCCCTAAAGCATTTGTTTTGTGAAATGTATGAAAATCTTGAAGTGTTTTTAATACTAACCAAGGGAGCAGTGTCCATGCTCTACCTGGCCAGAGAGAAGCTGCAGGAGTTTCTTCTTGGTACTTTCTGCTTGTCTTCTGCTATCCATAAGTGATTAATATTCATTCCTCAGCCTCAGATCCTCACTGATACCAGTTTTTTACTGTCTCAGAGCAAAATAGAGCATGCAGGAGATCCATGACTCATTCCTATGTGTCGGATGCTGCTTTGCTCATCTGCAGTCACACTTGATAGGGTGACGTTCCCTTCCCTGTTGACAGCTGCACTGACCTGGGCCTAAAATCCTATTTTTGTGTGACGTTCCCAACTGCAGGATACTCCAGCAGGAGAGTCCAGAGTCCTGGCAGCAAGAGCAATGACACACTCAGTGGGATTTCCTCCATCGAGCCCAGCAAACATTCCAGTTCCTCCCACAGCCTTGGCTCGGTAAGGACCTTCTCAGCTGGGCTGGGAGATGTGAGTGCACCTACCTGTAACCAGATCACCAAGTTCTTGGGCTTGGCTGGCTGCTGGGTATTGCCAGAGCTTGTGGAGCAGAGCAGGTTACAGTGTAATTGTAGGGCGGGGGCTGGTATTAACCTCACAGTGACTGTCTGGAGTTGGCTGCATGAAGTCAGAGCAGCATCTTCCTGTGGCCAAGGGCCTCTGGGTACATCCTGCTTCTTTGGCCAACGAGGGGCTGCAGGAGGGACTTGGGTGTGAGACATGGCTGTGATTCTTAAGGGCTCTCCATGAGCCCCTTGGGGGTCAAGGCTGGGTTGTCACTAGGTCTTGCAGCAATGGGGAACTTGTTTGCTTGCTTCTGCAGTGGAGGGTTGGGTGGCCCAGCAGCCCTCCTGTGCTGGGGCTGCTCATAGGTTGCTTAGTTGTTAAAACCAAGTTGAGTACCAAAATCTGATAGCTCTGTCTGGGAAATAGTGCAGAGACCACAGCCCTATCATTCTATGTCCTCTAAAGCCAAAAGCAGCCTATAAATACAGGTAATTCAGGCTTAACCAGGCAGGAGGAGCTATCACAGCTTATATCCACCTCTTGTGAGACCAAGCCCAGAAGGACTGCTGAGGGTTTGTGGTTTCAAGACCTGTTTTACATCCCTATTGCTCAAAGCCTCACGTGCTGCTGTTGGAGCAGCCAACAGCACAAGTGAACCTTGGCAGCTTTGTGCACTGTCACCTGCTGTGAAACACCCCCTCGCTGTCCCCAGCCTGGGCTCTGGCTGGCTACCAATGCTGGGGCAAGAAGAGGGGAAATCTCCCCTTTGAAGGGAGCTGTCAGCCACCAGCACTCTGGTGTATACAGGTGTCGCTGGATTTTAGCTTGTCCTGTAGGGTTAAAGCACCAGAAAGTTGCCAAAAATCTGTGCTGGCCGAAGTGTGTCTCCAGCAGGCGGCAGTGGTGGCACGGCGCTGGGTGCAGCGGTATTCCCCTGGGGGAACTGGGACCTGTCAGCTGGAGCTGTGTCCCCCTCTGGCCTCCTCTGCAGGGACTCTCCCATCCATCTGATTCCCTTGTGGCTTCTCCCCTCCCACAGATGCTGTCTGCGTTTTCTATCACTGAAATCTGTTTCTCTTTAGATAAAAAATTATCTGAATTCCTTTTCCCACTGGTGCCTGGGTGGGGATAGCCACACGGAGAGGGATCTGTTCTGTGCCCCCTCCACTGTGTCTGGGGTGCTCTACTCATTGCTTCCTTGTCACTTGATGGAGAACCAGCTCATTCCTCCCACAGCTGCAGTTCCCACCTGCCCTGCTCTGCTTTGCTGTCTAGTAAATAAGTCAGCAGCAGTGAACTGGTGATTTGCAGCTCTGGATCTCAAGACAATTTATTAACACTCCACAGAGATTAATCATTAGAGGCAGGTCAAGAACTCATCTTGCAGATAATTATTGTCATTTTTTCACTAGTGTCAGGCTCACATTTGGACATTTTCTCTAAGCCCAATGAGAACACTGGTCATTGTTAGTGTTTGAGCCTAGCACTTTCTTGGGTCAGACTTTAAAAGACATTTAGGCACTAGTGTGGAACTGGAGAAAGCTGCCAGTTTGCTATGTGGATCTTAGTGCTCAGCCCTCCCAGAGGAAGGTTTGGGTACAGAGAGGAGAGTGAGGATCCTCCTGGCCAAAGTCCTCAGCTGTATTTTTGCTGGTAAGCTGTTCCTTTGTTTGGACTGTGGTCGCTTCCTTTCCATTTCCAGTGTTTTTTGTGTGGACAGTAACCCCTGATACCTTCCCAGGCCAGGGAGTCCCAAAACAGGGAAGGGAAAAGGCTTATTGTTAACGTTTAACTGGTGGTGGTGTTTGTGTGCTCTTGACATTCCTACCCCTGGAGAGAATTCAAAAGACATTTGCTGCTTTCTCCTCCTTCCTGCAGATGGTGGCAGTCAACTCTTCAAGTCCAATACCAGCATCAGCAGGGATGTGGGAGGCCCAGGCAATGGGAGATGCTGGAGCCATGGGTGATTCCAGTGCAGAAAGCCTCTATCTGGGGCTGACATGAGCTCTCTATTGAAATCATTGCACCTTTGTAGCAATTGCTTCAGAGCTTTCTCAAGCTGTCACCTCCATCAGTGCTCTCCTAGTCCTCACCAGTGTAGAGCTGGGTGTTTCCTGGTGCAGCTTCAGTGTAAATTGGTTGGGAAGGTGTTTCCCATACAACCTTCAGTGCTTTTGAAGACCGTGCTGTGGTGCTGGGTGGAGAGTGGGAGGACTTCTCACCCTGCCTCCCCACCAGGCAATTGGCAGCATAGTGTGACCCCAAGTGTGACAGTAACCCCTGATACCTTCCCAGGCCAGGGAGTCCCAAAACAGGGAAGGGAAAAGGCTTATTGTTAACGTTTAACTGGTGGTGGTGTTTGTGTGCTCTTGACATTCCTACCCCTGGAGAGAATTCAAAAGACATTTGCTGCTTTCTTCTCCCTTCCTGCAGATGGTGGCAGTCAACTCTTCAAGTCCAATACCAGCATCAGCAGGGATGTGGGAGGCCCAGGCAATGGGAGATGCTGGAGCCATGGGTGATTCCAGTGCAGAAAGCCTCTATGTTCAAGGTAAAGGGGCACAAGGGTCACGTGGCCCTGGGAGAAGAAGAAGAGGGTAATGGAGCATCAGCAGCTCAATGTAGAGCTCTAACAGGAAGTTCTCTCCCATTTTCAACTTAAGCTCAGCCACTTGTTAGTTATGAAAATCCCATCTTCTCCTAAAGAAACATGTCTCTGTTTCCTCAGTGAATGATTTACTTTCAAAATCCCATTCTTTGTTCAGC